AGAGTGTTTTGTATTTATGATTAACAAAGAAAAAATATCTTGGCATTACATTTATTATAAAATCACTTCATTAAATCAGTCATATAACCAATTATGCACAGTGAGATCTTTTCTGTGATTACAGCACCATCTCTTTATAAAGAATTAGGAAGAGACATTCAGGATTAGAGGTTATCCATACATTGTCTTTCTCATTTCAGACCCATGTAGAAAAGGGCTTGTTTTCAGGTGCTATTTCTATTTACATAATTGACATAAATTAAGATGAAGAGTATTTATTTGGAGAAGAGCTAATAATAAGCATAAAATGAGCAATGAAATACTGGCTTGTAAAACTGACTAGATAACCAAATTGAACACAGAACGTAAGTAAAACCTAATATAAGTATTTATATACACACATATGCAGAAAACTAAACTAAAAAATTATATATACTACATCCTTTCCTTGTTGGAATAATTCTAGCAGATTTTTCCTGTAAGTTTATTTCAAGAAGATAAAGAATTGCTACCCCATGAAAGATGCAAGTAATTGGATACGTAACTTCAGCATGTACCTGTGCACTGCTCTCTATGTAAGCCTTAAGTTTTCATATTAACCAGTGAATGCCCACGTACTGCAGCAGAGGGTGTTTTAGTTAAGAAACAGCACAGACTACCCAGGATGTGAACAGCACACGTGTGTTACAGCAACGCACTTACTTTTGCTTTCTGTGGTGCATACAACGGAACTAGTCGAGACAGAAGAGACCAGAGGGCAGGATTATTAGGGTTACTAGGAAAAGAACAAGGATATTAGACTTTCTGGTTTAGTTATCAAACCTAGTCTTCCCTGACCTGGTAGGCAGTTGTAATAAAACCCAAACAGGTCTTTTTTGACTAAGAAAACAACCCAGTGTTGTTGAAAATAGACATGGGTAGTAATTAAAAAAACCCAACACAACACTGAAGTTATATTGCTGACTAAGGAAATTAAATGTACAATATGCTTATCAATATCCATGGGAAGAAAACAAATAAACCTTAGGACTACAGGTCTTGGTCTTACAGTGTAAAGGACAAGCAATTTTAATTTGGAGAAAAACATAGAACAGTTTCCAAAAACACTTGGAGAGACTGAGTGTCTTGCATGGATTACAGCTCCCCCTTTCTAGAATGCTAAGACTAATCAAAACACATTTAAATATATATATTTAGCTAAGAGAATTAATAGCTTCAGAGACTGTTAATATTTAAGTAAAAGCCCTAGAGACTTTTCTAGGTCAAAGGTTCTGCTACATCTGACGAAAAATGCTTTCACAGAACAGTGAACTGATATAGCTACCAAAGAAGCCACCAAAACAAAACCAGAAGACCCTAAACGAGTCATTAAACTTCTGCCATTGGAGCCCCTAAATCAGAAGCAAGCTTCTGTCAGCTGATGCTACGTTAAGTGAGCACTTCACGTTTGAACAACTTTTTTTTTTAAATTATTTTTTTAGAAGAATGCTGGAGGTGAACAGAGATCTGCTCACTATTCAGTGGAACCAGAGCAACACATGTACAAGGCAATCTAAAGACAGAAAAAATACATACCTGTGTATTGCTTTGGAGACTTCTCTCTGGACCCCCACATTTCTACCTTGCAATGCATAAACAGCAGATGCAATAAGGCACCTCTCATAAAGCCTATCATCCCCTTTTTCATGCTTCAGTAATTCTTTCAAGGCTGCTGTTGCAAGTGTAGCATCCTGCTTTACCAGTCCTAGGGTGCACAAAGCTTTCAGACTTCCCGTACTAGGTTCCTTCACTGAGCTGTTGAATCAGAGGAAGGGAAGGAGACATTACTTTGGAGCATAAATTAAGCTTCCTGTTAACGTTACAGCACTTGTGACTTCTGAGTCCTCTTGCTCCTGTATATCATGTATGGTACACATAATTAACAGCCTCTCCTTATGGGATCGTGGATCAAGCTGGATCGGTATCCTTGAGGTCTCAGAATATGGAAAAGAACAGTGGGTTTGTGCCATTTCAGCACTCAAGCATCAAATGTACAACTGCTTGGCAAGACTCTGTGACTTAATAGTTGTCCTTCAGCGGCAGCCATAAATGAATGGTAAGAAACAACACGTAACACTGACAACTATCTCCTCTTCCTGAAGACATTTGTACTTACAACTAGTACCAAACCCGAGTTGTAGTGTGCCTATTTACAGCTGGGAAGGAAAAACCCAGAAACGAGCCTGCTGCATAGAACTGCTCTGAGAATGGGGATGTTTGGTGAAATCATGCCTTATTTACATAAGGTTCCAACATAAGGTAGTCTGAGCATGCCTTCCACCATCTATTAGTTTTAGTACCACTATCTGTCGCACTGCACTCCATTATGAGATGCAGTTTAACCTCCTGTCAATAGTATTCCAAGCTTTATTGGAGACCTACTAGATACAGTTACTGATTTTTTCCAGCAATTTTTTCTAGTAGAGGTGGAAAACTCTTAAGTTAGTCCCCTGATCTTCAACTCTGGTGAATACAAATAGTGAGCTCAGTATGAACAACCAAAATCAAAGACCTTAACTGATGTGCTAGTGAAGGTGTTCTTACAGTAAAGGCAATTCAATAAACTGCAATACAAACTGAATGGAGGCAAACAACAAAACAGTGCACAGCAGCAGTATTTTGGAGTTATTTCACTGCAATGTCCTACTCCAGAGTAAAGTGCTGCTTACTTTTACTTATTAGGTGACTACAGGCTCCTTATCAAGCTTCCAATGATTATTTTTAAAGGCAAAAATAGAGTAGAATGTAAAGTTCCAATTCTGCATTTTGTTTTCAGTCCCTAGCAGGAAAAAATTCTAAGAGCTGATAAACAAACTTGAATACCAGCACTATGTTATCTGGTGCAAAGATAATGCCCTTCGACAATTAAGAAGTGGAATTCTATCATATTAGCTATAAAAGACACTCACTGCTAAAAACTTCTGTGTCAAGCTGGTCATGAGAGAAGAAGAAAGGCAGCTTCTTCAAGGTCCTACACAGGCCCTTTAAGTCACCTAGCATGAATCCCAGTCAAAAAATACATCTGTCTGTTGGACTAGACTGCACCATTTTTGCTATTAGTAAAAATCCACTGTACACCTTTGCAGCACTGTGCTTCCAATTCAGATCGAGACATATTCAATGTGGTGTTACTTCCGTAAATCATTTACTAGTCTTCTTTTTTCTTTAAGCGCAAACAACTAATGTCATCTAGGAAACTCTGATTGTTGATGTTTATGACAAAAGAAGAAGTCTGCAGTGATTAATAAGACGTAGGAAACACTGGGTTCCTAGCTAGTTAATCATCAGTTACTCAGGATTTAGAGTGTACTAGGTCATGGACACTATTTTGGCAACTTCGGGAGTCTGCTGGCAAGGTGGAGAATGTACAGCCACTACTGAAGTCCTCTAATGATCCAAAGAGACTCAGACATTAGCTCTTAATTCATAGCTACCAGGAGACTATCCTGGCATATAGTACATGGGCTTTTAGCCTCCACAGCTCTGAAAAGACATTCGTGAATTAAGTGAACAACTGATATGGATCTGTTTCTTTTCTCAGGGAAGCTACAAGTTGTCGCTGTCTATGACCCCTGGAACACAGCCGTTCTGAATACTTCCGACTATTTAAACTGAAACTGCTTTCATTAGTCACTTAGATTTTTTACAGCTAAAGAGCAAAGATAATGCCTAGTGCTTAGGACAACTGCAGATGACTATTTTTTACAAAGTAAACCTATTAAAACTAACATTCAATGATATTAGGACATCCAAACTGTCCACTAACCCTTCCACTCTGTACTGCTTTAAGAATATGGAAGAAGACATAGGCCATGAAAGAAAACAGGTACATCACATGAATAAGCTTAAAAGAACACTGCATCCACTCCTACTTTTACTCTGCAACACAAGAAGAAAACACTCGAGATGCCCAGAAAGTAAATCTGAGGCTTCAGCAGTACCATCAAACATCATACACTGATTATTATTCCCTCCACTCACCATTTGAACAGCAGTGTCTTTGCAGCATCCACTTTGTTCTGTTTATACTCTATTATTGCCAACGCAGTCAGGATATGTGCTTTATCTTCTTCAGACTCAGCAACAGACAAAGCTTTTTCATAGGCTGGTAAAAATTCAAGACTCAGAATCGAAGCAGGAGGAAAAACTACTTTTAAAAAGCTTCTAGAAAGGCCATGATAGTAGAACATACACAGGTGTACTTTGGTTTCAGGTTCATTGTATTTTCGCACCTCAAATCATAGGCAGAAGACAAAAAAAGTTTATTCTGGAAGTAACTGCATGTTAGGAAATGCCAGATTTACAGGGGTGTTTAGAGTCTGGGTGTTGTTTAATATGTAGCAAGCAGAAGCAGAACTGAAATGCGGTACTGGGATACTTGGAAAAAGACTGAAAGAACACAGTCTCAACACTCCCATGTGACAGTTTATTTATGAAGCTCTACTTCAGACGGGCACACACCACTGCAATTAAAAACTCAGAGTTATTTAAAATGCTGAGCTGGCTGCTCCTTTATGAGTGCTTACACTTCTACACTGACAATTCAGTGTACTTTTCTGTGAAGTCTCACATCTTCGCAGGGCACAACACAACCACACAGCACTTAGGTTTAGCGCCACAGCTCAAGTGCTCGAACAACACATTAATCTCCTACCCAGAACTGATTTCTCCAGGAAATCCATTTCATTTCAGAACAAGGGAAGCTAAGTGGACAACAGCTTAATGGACAAGAACTAAACACCTGACAAAATGTAACATCCCTTTAAGCATTTATCACCCCGACGAACAGCCTAATGGTTAAAATAGTTGTGGAATTTGCACTTACGCATCAGGAGTGAAAAAGTGAAATAAATGGAACAACAGCTAGGCTGGTCAGACAAATAAATTTTGCTAAGCCTCAAGAGAAGCGTCCCACATGCTCTGAATTAGGCAGATGCTTACCTTTGATACTTTCTTGTAAAAGCCCTTTCTTGAAGTATGCTAGTGCTATCCCCACAATGCCATCAAACTCGGTTAGGGGTGTTGATGTGTAAACCTCAATAGCTTTATCACACTGACCAAGGGCACTGTAAAAACAAAAAGAGTCACTGGCATGAAGGATGTAGCAACAGCAGCTATGATTCAGACAAGCTGTCCTTGCAGACCAGTATCCTCTTTTCCACAGCGGTTGTAAGCAAATACCTGGAAAAGAACAAGATTAGGGCAAGACTGTACAATATTCCACACCCTCCTTCTATTACAGCAGTTAATCTCTCCAACTATCTGTTGCATGAAGGATAATCGATACGAAAAAATCCTCCCCATCTCCGTGACAGCTGTATGTAAGGATGTCACTTAATGGTCAGCACAATGCGGTGGGGGAAAACAGCAAAGGAGAAACATGAACAAAGCACACAGGCACGTGCACATACACAGAGAGATACAGCACTCTCGCTCTGAGACCACTAAGGAAGAAATTATACAGAACTGTGTTTATTAGAACTAGTTACTGGTCACTGGATCGTTACTTCTGTGTAAGCTGCACACAGGAATCACCATGCATACCACTTGGGTGTGAGACTACAGGAAAACGAATAGTCTAAAATCTTCCCTGAAGTCAAAGAATGAATTACCCCATTATCACAGCCTAGAAGTTCCAGTGTCATGTACAGATGCTTCAGAACATATGAATTTTTCCTAGAGAGCTGACAAATAACTAATTAGCAAAGCTTGAGCCATCTCAAATAAAAGAGAACTTTGAACATCATCTGTTAAGACCTGTGCCCTGCAATGCATTCCCCAAGAACCAAAAGAGGATCATGAAAGGAACTTAGAACTGTGTGTAGGACTGCAGCAGAGAGGGTCATCAGCAGAAGGACCACATACATCTACACAACACCCCAACACCACATGCTTCAGGTTGTGCAATTCAGTCCAAATTCGCAGGGCAGGTAGAAGGGACTTCAAATAAGCCCTGAAGCGGATATTTTACTCAGACTAAGGCTACTACATATCTCAGGACTGGAGATTGTAAAACTCCCAATTTACTCTGGAAACCATAAACCAGCTACATTGTGTCGACTATGTTAAGGCACTGAAGTATCACGTTAAGGAGAAGGGAATCACTGCTATGTTACAAACTGTGAAGACATACAGCAATTCCTTGCAATCTAATTTTTTTTTTTTTTAAATTACACTACCCATTTCTGGGGAACATAAGAAGTTCAGCCAAACTTTTCTACCATTAAGAAAGATGTTTAATACGTTATAGAAAGATGTTTAATACGTTATTTTTGGCAACCATCTTTCAACTTTCAGCCTCATGCATATGTTGAGCCACTGCATGAGTTACATCCAAAACTGAAATTATGGGCTAGGAAAATACGTCAACAACACTTACCACAATGCCCTGCCATAGTTTTGCATTGCTGTGTTGTATTTCTCAGTATCCTCAGAGTTTTTCAGCAATGAAGCTGCCCTGAAAATAACCACAATTAAGAATAATTACCATCTGACTATAACATGCATATTTTGACAATTGCTCTCTCAGCAGAATGGACAAATGCTTTATGCAGAAGGTTTTCTATACGAATTAAGCACACACAGAGCCTATTTTACCATTTTAAGGCATCTGCAAACATGTTCACAAAACTGGTTTCCTTGGCCACCTCCCCCTACCGTTTCAAAAGAGAAAAAACAACAAAGCCCAACCACCTCCATTACTCAGAATTGGGTAGATACCAAAACAAAAACCAAGCTTACCAACCCCCAAAATTTCACCTATATGGTGAATTAACTAAATGGCTTGGTAAGTCATGCAAGCCTTGGAATGTCTTCACTTCTTCAGTTCTGTGTTCTGAATTTCCAACCTTGCTGTAAGAACATCCCCACACCTCCCCTTACAGCACCCTTAGTTGAAGTGTACTGTTGAATTGAAAGAGTAAGGTTTACTAAAGGAAAAGAAAAATCCTTAAGTTTTCCAGCAGTTGCATCGAAAAAGACATCAAGGAGCTTCTATCATTAAACTTTCCAGTGTCTAGAGTTTACCTTTCATAGGCTTCTGCTGCCTGCCCTTTTAGATGCAGATAGTCATTCAAATAACCGAGCATTGTGAAAGCAGAGGCATCGTCTGGATTTCTTTCTAGAAAATCAGAATTGACAGTACAGGAGAACACGATCAGAAAGAGCTGTGAAAAAGCATTACAAGAACACTGCCACACTGATGATACAGCCTCTGTATATATACAAAACACTTTGCCAGGTGCTCTGTCAGTTGCCCACTGGCAATACAAAGAGATACAAAGACCCACAATGTGACATCAGGTTAGATCAAAAACATTTCAGATCTTACACAGTATTAATGCACTTAATGTATTGTAAGTTTTCCAGCCTGCAGTGGTTTTGGGTTTTTTTTGTTACGAAATAGGAAACCATTCAATTTGTATTGACTCTAGTAAAATACTGGTAGAATCTTATGGTTTATTTTTAATACTACATCTTTGAAAAGCTTGTCAGTAGCTAAAGCACAGATTTGTAAGCTGTCATCTCACCTTCCACTCCTAGCCTTTCCTCCCAGACAAGGAAGAATCACATAGGCCCCTCCTGCAGTCTGTGTAAGAACAGGGATTTCACAGACAAAGATACAGTCTCACATTTATCTCATTTTAAGTGCTTGCACCTCATTTTGTAGCTCTCAAAAATGAGCAACAGAACCGTTCAAGGAGTTTGTCAATAGGATGCCCTGGGAAACTGCCATCAGGGACAAGGGAGCAGAATAGAGCTGGCAGATCATTAAGGACACTTTTCATAGAGCAAAAGAGCTCTTGAAATCGGGCAAGGAAGGCACGTGACCAGCATGGAGGAATCAAGACCTGCTGGTCAAACTGAAGGGCAAGAAGAAAATGCACAGGCAGTGGAAAACAGGGACAGGTGTCCCAGGAAGAGTACAGGGACACTGCCCAGCTGTGCAGGGATGGGGTCAGGAAGGCCAAGGCACAGATGGAGCTGAACTCGGCAAGGGATGCAAAGAATAATAAGAAGGGCTTCTACAGGTGTGTCTGCCAGAAAACAAAGATCAAAGGAAGTGTACCCCCTGATCAACTAGCAAATCGGTAACAATGGACGAGGAGAAGGCTGAGGTACTCAGTAACTTCTTTCCCTGAGTCATTACTGGCAACCTCTCTTCCCACACCCCTTGAGTGGTTGGACCACAAGATGGGGACTGGGGGAGCAAAGCCCCTTCCACTGTAAGAGAAGACCAGGTTCGTGACACATAAGTCTAAGGGACCTGATGAGATGCATCCCAGAATCGGTAACAATGGACGAGGAGAAGGCTGAGGTACTCAGTAACTTCTTTCCCTGAGTCATTACTGGCAACCTCTCTTCCCACACCCCTTGAGTGGTTGGACCACAAGATGGGGACTGGGGGAGCAAAGCCCCTTCCACTGTAAGAGAAGACCAGGTTCGTGACACATAAGTCTAAGGGACCTGATGAGATGCATCCCAGAGTCCTGAGGGAATTGGCTGACACGGTAGCCAAGCCTCTCTCCGCGATATCCAAGAAGCCCTGGCAGTCAGGTGAAGCCCCTGGTGACTCAAAAAGGCGAAACACTGCACCCATTTTTAAAAGGGTAGAAAGAAGGAGCCTGGGAACTAAGGGGTGTTGTCTATCTGGACTTCCGAAAAGCCTGTGACATGGTCTCCCACAACACCCTTCTCTCTGATTGGAAAGATATGAATTTGATGGGTGGACTGTTTGGTGGATGAAGAATTGGTTGGTTGGCCACACCCAGGGGGCAGTGGCCAATGGCTCTCTCTCCAGATGGAGATCAGTGACAAGTGGTGCCCCTCACGGGTCCATACTGGGACCAGGACTGTGTAAAGTCTTCATCAGTGATAGATGGTGGGTTCCAGCGCCCCCCTGGCAAGTTTGCTGATGACACCAAGCTGTGTGGTGCAGCTGAAATGCCTGAGGGATGGGATGCCATCCAGAGGGACCTGGTGAAGTACACCCACATGAACCTCATGAGGTTGGTTCAACAAGGCCTAGTGTGGGTCAAAGCAACCCCCAGTATTAGTACAGGCTGGGGGATGAAGGGATGGAGAGCAGCTCTACTGAGAAGGACCTGAGGGTACTGCAGGATGAGACATGAGGTGGCAGTGTGCATTGGCAGCCCAGAAAGCCAACCGCTTCCTGGGCTGCATCACAAGCGCATGGCCAGCAGGCCAAGGGTGGGGATTCTCCCCTCTACTCAGCTCTGATAAGAACCCAGCTGCAGTTCTGCATCCAGCTCTGGGGCCCCCAACAGCAGGACACTGACTTGTTGGAGCAAGTCCAGACAAGGCCACAGAGACACTCTGAGGGCTGAAGCACCTCTGCTGTGAGGACAGTCTGAGAGAATTGGGCTTGTTCAGCCTGGAGAAGAGAAGGCTCCAGGGAGACCTTATAGCACCTTCTAGTACTTAAATGGGGCTTATAGGAAAGATGGGGACAGCCTGCTGCAATACAACAAAGGGTAATGGTTTTAAACTAAATGAGGAAAAATTTAGATTAGATATAAGTAAGTTGCTTTTTTTACAATGAAGATGGTGAAGCACTGGCACAGGGTGCCCAGAGAGATGGCACATGCCCTATCCCCAGAAACATTCAAGGTCCAGCTGGACAGGGCTCTGAGCAGCCTGGTCTAGTGGAAACTGTCCCTACCCATAGCAGAGGCAGAGAACTAGACGAGCTTTAAAAGGTCCCCTTCCAACCCAAACCACTCTATGATTCTATGAAAATCTGCACTTGCTCTATCTAACTTCCAGGCCAGACATACAAAAGCCTACCCCAACAGGAGGCCACACTACCTTGGAACCATGCCCAAGAACACAGTCCATCTCCTACTGAAGGATACCACAGTCATATGCTTGAGATTACGGAGTTACACAGCAGCCAGGATAAGGCTTCTGCCAAAGATTATGGCACAGGGGTGGAGAAGCTAGCATCTATCTGCACCTATGCTTACAGGCACCCAGACACAACTGTGACACATCTCAATTGGTCTTTGAAACAAAATCTGTTGGAAAGAGCAGTACGACAGAACTCACATCTATTTCATCTTTGTGTGATAATGAAAAAAATCAGTGGCCCACTTACCCTCTATTGTATTACTTACTTCACAGTTCAAAAGTCTCTCCCCAGCCCAGCCAGGTACCTTTTTGCCAGAACTAGTACAGATGCATCTGTTCATTCGGAATGTATCTCTTAGACTTGACAGGTTAGTGGGGCATTTAGATTACCTACCTGTGTATTTGCTCAAGACCACCTGGGCTGCTGGAATAGCATTCATTTGAATAATGTTGTACGTATATAGTTCAGTGTTTCTGTTGCTTTTATCCTGCAGCGTTGAACACACCCAGTGGGCATAGCCTTTTGCTCCCTCAGTCTCAAGAAACAAACAAAAACCCCAAAATACAAGTCATTAAACCTGCTCAAGCAACAGTGAAATAATTACAAGATTATAATAACAATTCTGTGTTTTAAGGCAGTCTTGCTAAAAATCTGCATCAGTGTCAAGCAGGAGAAAAAAACACCAAACTGAATTTACTTCACACACAGTTTTAACCTGTCCTTTGGGCAAAGAGAATTTTTACATTAGCTTGCTGTACCACTGGAGGAGTGACAGACAGAAAAAAGCTATAAAAGAATGTAAAGTCCTCCAGTTTCTTCAAACTCAGGGTACTGACAATATCCTGGCTCTCTCCTGAAACAGCTGTAATTTATGCCTTTAATCTCCATCCAATTCTGTGGAACATCAAGAATGTTTTTTCATGACTTATGGAGCAGATTTCTTGGACCACTGCGACTAAAGCATTTGATAAAGTAACTGCCTGCTCTTCAGTGCCAGCACAGGCCAGGAACAACAAGGAAGCCAGACAATTTCATATGGAACATGACCGTAACTGTTTCACCATTCGACACACGCCTATTTTTAAAAAAATTACTTCACGTGAATAGAGGTATTAGATATGCAGAAGCTTCAGGACAATACAACTGTTACACTTACATGCATACTGAGTTCAGTTGTGTGCCTGAAGAGATCCATGGTATCATAGCTGCCTACTCTCTCTGCAATAAGAGCCTACAGAGAAGCAACAGTTTGCTGTGGTCAGGTTCTTTAAAAATTATGACATTGACAAGAAACTCAGCACACATTACTTCAGGCACATCTTAGGCATTTAACATGAAGACACCTGCTTTTCCTCATACTATCCAAGAAATATTGGTTCAAAAAAATAAAATTAACACAATTAAAGGGAGCACAAGAAGCTTCCACTGTATCAGTACTTGAAACTTAAGGTCTGCTGCTGCTGCTATGTATTCTCCAGGATAAAGATTTTGTGCGTGTTAGCATAACTTATAACACATCTGATAGGCACTGCATTTTGACATGTAATGGTGCTAGTTCTTCCCTAGAATCTACCTTCAGCTGGATACTATGAGCATGACGGGATTACAAAGTGCACCTATAGTGACTGTAAAAGTGTGAGTCACAGCTATTTCTACTATTCATGGATGGCCTAGACACCAGTGGGAGAATATACCAACCACCAGTGGCAGGGGGAGGAAGGGACCTCCCAAAAAGAACAAACTGCTTTCATCCCAGGTACATCACAGACTTATTTCTAACAGTGGTGTTGGGGGGTGCTGAGAAGAGAGTTGAGCAGTGCCATATGATGAGCAAGAGGTAGAGCGGAAGCTGAAATAACTAGCAGCTTATGAAAATGGTGCTTTGTTGACAATGCTCAATAAAAAGCTTCAGAGCACAAACAGTGATTTTATTTTTTAATAGCTAGTTTCTTGCAGAACTTGCACCACCAGCCAGAAGAACTTCATGTGAAGATACCTGACAAAGGTATCTTCCATTATATTATCACTATGGAAACAAAGCATCCCATCCACCCTCAGGGGAAGTAAAAGCTCCCTCTATTTAAACAATTTAGTTTCCAGGAATATGCTTAAGTGCCAATTATTAAGATTGAGTCGAGTCCTCTCACTGACTAACAACTGGTTTTGGTGCACAAGATTATGATTGTCATCTTACCTGCCCAATCCAACACAGTACGTAAGAAGGCTCCAGAGCCTGGGCTATCTTGAAGGCTTCATGAGCAGGCTGTAGAACCAGAGACAACAGTGCTATTGTACTGTCTGGCATGGCAACAGAGCACTTGTGAGTATACACAGGTACTGATATGCAGTCGTATTGGAAGAGATTTCACGGACAATATTACGTCACTACTAAAAACACCTACTGTGCCATGGGGAACAATGCACTGCTCAGAGAATAAAGAAGTTTAGGCTTATTTAAAAAAGAAAAAAATAATATATATTTCTATCTTTACAAGATGAAAGTTCCCCTATCTTTCAAATATATTTCCTTCTTAAAACAGTTCAGCAGCTAGATCACTGCTTAGAAACAAGTCATTTTACCATCTGACTCTTGGAGGATCTGGTTCTAGAAACCTGCTTTTTCTTCACGCACAGTTAAGCAAACACATTTTTCAAAATGGTAAAGCTGATTACCACCCACAAATGATTTTTCCTATGGATTGCCTGTGTTTAGAGTTCACACCTCCATGTGGCATAAGGTGAACAAAGTCTTAGCAGTAAGTAGTTTGTGACATTAAGTTATTTTTATTAAAAACAATTCTGACTATCACATTTCCAATTAAACCAAATTTCTCTAATTCTGACCAGCAGATAGGATGGAATGTGGTTTTAGCTGCATGAGAACTCTGGACTTCACTCAAGATGCACTCTACTTTTTCTCCAAAGAAACTCTGAAGGTTGCACAGAATTACAGTAAACAATACGACATGCTGATGAGCAGAAAGCAGCCACCTATGGGAAACTCAAAGTTCAGTTTGTGACTTGCAGTTAAAGGAGTTCTGGGTCAAACCTGGTGTGAATTGGTTTTATTAACTAGTTCTCAGTCCTTCCAAATACTTTTCATTCCACCCAGTTGCTTGGAAAGTTAGCTCACCATTTCAGAAGTTCACTGGTGCCCTCCAGAACAACTATTTAGTTCATTTGCGTGTCTCAAGTAAGGTACAGGTACCAATTTTATTTCATTCAAAGGAAGTATGTTTCCTGAGTCTGGGAGGGAGGTTCTTCACTGTTTGCCCACACTCCCACCCACATACTCTCCCTTTAAAAAAAAAAAAAAAAAAGGGGGAAGAGAAACTATATGGTAAAGAGTTACCTCAATGTTTCCAGTTGTGAGATACAAAACCCCCAAGTTGGTCCAGGCAACAACATTCTAGACAGAACAAATAAAGTTAAAACCAATGCATTATTAATATATTCAAAAATAACACTGCAATGGGGGAAAAAAGTTTTAAATGCCCACTTGAAACAGATGGCAGCTGCCTACAGCACTTACGATTTGCTCAGCTTGAACAGATTTGATGAACGAATGTTGAGCAAGAGCATAATTCCCAACAGCTGGGGGGAGAAAGAAAAGAAGAGAGCTAGATCTAACTGAATTTCATAAACACCATTACTCAAGTTGCCTTCTAATTTAAGATATTATGGAGCTAGGGGTTTCACTGAAGACTTACCACTGCAGGAAGCAACTACACCAAGTGCATTCCAATAAAGATGATTTTTGCTGTCAAGCCTCACAGCTTTTTTGAGACACTGGGAAGGCAGGGGAGGGGG